TATATATATATAGTGTGTGTAGTATATATATATATATATATATATATATATATATATATATATATATATATATATATATATATATATATAGAAACGTGTGTGTGGGTATGTGTACATGTGCCATATGACTCGATCCATGTATACATACACGTTGTCTCCGTCTCTCACCTTGTCGTGCTTTTTGAGTATCTTCATACACGCCGTGGTGTTGAGCAGTTGGTAGCTTTTGATGTTGCTCAGGTGCATATAGTACTCCTGAAAGCCTTCCTTCAGCAGTGTTAAGCTGTGTGTAAACCTCCCGTCGTTGAGAATGTGTGAGGCGTCCACTATCCCATGCGAATGATTGACGGAGTTGTCGCTGCTGTGGCTGCGGTGTGTTGCTGTGGGGTGTGTGGAGAGTGTACGTTAGGTCTCATGTGCCTGCACACGCGTGTGTGAAAGGGTTCGTTACATGTGTATATGCACACGTGTGTGAGAAAGGGTTTGTTACATGTGTATATGCATAGGAGTGTGTGTATATAGATAAGGTATTTATAGTTGTGATTGACGTAGATATCCATGTATGAGGGGTGTAGACTGAAATAGGTGAGCGTGTACCTTTGTGCGTGAAACATAGTAGTGACATGGGTTGACGGGGTGTGTCTTCCCCACACACTCCTACACAGCCCACAGATGTGTCGCTGGGGCCGTTGTGCGTTGCTGTGTCATGGCCTGACGTCATCCTTATAGCACCGTAACTAAAATAACAGTTCTGTACATGTGTCCCAGGAGAGCGTGTGTATGCAAGTGTATATACAAGCAAGTGTATATACAGGCATATCCTTTAAATAGGTAGAGCTAGAAGAAGGTTAGATCCTATAAGAGGGGTTAGATGGATGAAACCTATATTAAAATAGTAAATGTGCCCATGGGCGTGAGAGACGCAGCTGAATATATGTACCAGTATACACGACTTACATACTTATAGTCACTGTTGTAAGAGGCCCGGTAGAATATATGAGTCATGCGTGAAATCAATGATCCAGTGGCTGGCAGACCCAAACTTTGCTGAATGTGCACTGACGCGTGCACGTCGTACAAATACACACGTATAGCTACAACCTCACACTCATATATTTATATATATGTATGCATATATATATATATACATATATATATATATATATATATATATATAACTACTAGTA